GGCATCGAGGCTCCCAGGAAGGCCTGAGGTCTAAGTGACCACATAGCCCAGACCACCCTTTCCCAAGGGTGTAGTTCCCCCACCATCAACACCAGCACCCCCTAAAGCCAGCCCGCACTTGTTGTTGTTGTTCAACAACAACATTCTTCAATGTGGAAAACTTCTAGTTTCACTAATCTTTTGGGAAGTGTGGATAAGTGGATCTTTAGAAAACAAGGCAGACACGTGTTTGCTATGCACACAGGGCTTCAAGAGAATCCCTCTAAAAACATGCTACACTAGCGTCCTAATCCTTCTTACATAGAAGATTAAACTGCCATTGCCCCTTTCTGTATCCATCTAAAACCTTCTCTTTTGGCATGCTCTGCCTACGTGTTCTGCAGGCACACACAGACATGGAAGGGGAAGGATAAGGCAGGAAGTGATGAGAAAAAGAAAAAGAAGGAAGGTTCCAATTGATCTGCTAACTCCGGCTGGTCACAGATGACATCTGGGCACCACAGGAACGTGGGCACCACCACCAACCAACTTCCGCAGGATCGAAAGCCACTGCGTACAGACCAACTAAGACCCTAAGACCAACTAAGTACAGACCAATTAATACCATAAGACCCTTTTACCTGGGCAAAAGAAAAGCTAGACACTAACAGAGAGGAACAGAAGAAAAAGAAGACAAAACCACATAGGAAGACAGAGACAAAAACACATGCCAGTGGATCTAATAGGGAGAAATGACAAGGACAACAGAGACTAAAGGAAAACACAGGAGCCAAGGCCTTACCAGCAAGCTGACATCAAATGGCTGGGTGACCTTTCATGGATGAACACGTTTCAGCTTTCACAGCTGTAAACTGAGCAGGCTGAATGAGATGAGCCTTATGGGTCCTCCCCACAAAGTCCACAAGCCAGGATAAGAAAAGCATAAAACAAACTTCACTTTTATCTTCCCAGAAGGAAAACAATAGCACAGTCCCACAATGAGACTGAGTAGGTGGACTCTGAAGATTAGAGGACTTCATTAGGAACAGAAGAAAAAAAGAGCAGAAATCATATAAAATGTTCCTTGCAATAGACTTAATCCCCCAGTCCTCAGGGCCTTTGGTACCTGAAGAAAACCATCTGCTAATGAAGCCCCAAATTCAGCTCTTGCTGAAGCCTCATTGAAGGGGTGGCTATAAAATCATGGTTATTGAGAGACTAATCTTTGAGAATCCTCAGACTTCTAAAATGACACTGGACTCAGAAAAAGTACGTGTAAAAGAAAAAAAAAAAAAAAGGCAGAAAAGAAACCGTCAAAGCCATGAAGAAGTTACTGTTGAGAACTAAGCAACAATTAGCACCCAGCCAAGAAAAGCTGAAGACTTGAAGAACAGACCTGACACCTTTGATCAGTTCTCTGAGCACCTATCATGCCTTGACTGATATTTAAAAAGTAGGACAGGGAAAGACTAGATAAGAAAGAAATAAGAACAAAGGGTACACAGCAATAATGGTCATGGCACTGACTAATGACGTAGAAGTAAGCAGTGGGCCCTCACGGGACAGGAGAGGTAGAATGGCTAAGGGGAGCAATGGCAGTCACCCCACCTGAACTGTCACCTATATACCCTCCTTTGGGGCTCACCATCTCCCTGCTTTGGGCTGTGTTCTCATGTCACCTTTGCACAAAAAGGCCAGGTTTAAGAGCTCAAGGAGACCAACCACAGACTTAGGTGGTTCATGTATGTAAAATGCTTCATGTTGCAAGTGATCACTTAGCTATCCTACAACATAGGACCCGTGAAAGAGGGGATGGGTTGCATAATGTCCAAGCTCTCCTCTAAACCAAAAATTCTGAGGTTTTGTGTGTTTGAAGAGGAAGGGAAAAGAAAGTTGGCAAATAGCCAAAACGCTGTTTGACAACGGGGACTTTTCCCAGCCAATGTCATGGACATCTTATTGTCGTACTCCAATAATTGTGCATTACCAGAACTCTCAATCATCATGGAAAGGCCAAACTATGTCTGTCATATCTGCATAGGGTGTGCAGGTGTTACAGACTCTCGGCAAAATGCATTATGTTATAATCCTAACCCCTAAAGTGAAGATTTCTGTTGGACTCTTGTACTCTTGGGACTCTTGGACCCTACAGGACCAGACCATAAAGCTACTTGGCTGTGAACATTTGCTATTTTTTAAGACACAGGAAGAAGACCTCAAAGGTAATTGGGAGATTATCTGGGCTGTCACTTCCACCACAGGCCTCAGAGTGCATGGGCCACTTGGGGGGGGGGGGGGGGGGGGGGGGGGGGGGGGGGAAACGCCACCTTGGTTTGTTTTTTTTTT